ATTTACACGTCAGCCTGAGATTCGCATCTGCGTTACGTAAAACAGTTTTATTTACACGCCAGCCTGAGATTCGCATCTGCGTTACGTAAAACAGTTACATTTACACGCCAGCCTGAGATTCGTTTGTACTAACGTAAAACTCTTTTTTATTTACACGCCAGCCTGAGATTCGAGTCTGCGTTACGTAAAACAGTTACATTTACACGCCAGCCTGAGATTCATTTGTACTTAACGTAAAACTCTTTTTTATTTACACGCCAGCCTGAGATTCGAGTCTGCGTTACGTAAAACAGTTACATTTACACGCCAGCCTGAGATTCATTTGTACTTAACGTAAAACTCTTTTTTATTTACACGCCAGCCTGAGATTCGAGTCTGCGTTACGTAAAACAGTCTCATTTACACGTCAGCCTGAGATTCGCATCTGCGTTACGTAAAACAGTTTTACTTACACGCTAGCCTGAGATTCGTTTGTACTTAACGTAAAACTGTTTTGTTTACACGCCAGCCTGAGATTCGAGTCTGCGTTACGTAAAACAGTCTCATTTTACACGTCAGCCTGAGATTCGCTGATAAGTCGCGTAAGGAATTTTACGTAGTTTTTATTCGAATCTCAGGCTGGTATGTCGCGTAAGGAATTTTACGTAGATTTTATTCGAATCTCAGGCTGGCATGTCGCGTAAAGAGTTTACGTTGTTTTTAGTCGAATCTCAGGCTTGCATGTTGCGTAAAGAGTTTTACGTAGTTTTCATTCGAATCTCAGGCTGTTATGTCGCGTAAGGAGTTTTACGTAGTTTTTATTCGATTTGGCAATCTGAGTAAAGAGTTTTACGTACATTTAATAGTCGAAGGCTGGCGATCTGATCATAACAGATAGAACGCGTGCACTGTACATACTCGGAATTCCAATAGATTAGAAGCTTTGATCGACATTGATGATATTAGAACAGGTCCGTAAATATAAAGTGTACAGAATTAACGTAAAGACCAGGGCATTTGAAATTCCCATTATGTTTTCTATACTATTAATTACTATTAATTTGTTCTGTGAGAAGATGTGACAAAATTGTTTGATTCAAATTATGATAGGAGTCAGCTCACTTTTGTATTCGTTTAACTATGGTTTGCCCTGATGATGTGCCAATTCATATAGAGAATATTACATGGGAGAGCGGAGATACGGATTTTATCTTCGAGTGTTGAAAAGATAAAAATTGGTTAAAAAAATTTGTGCAATACGTATGGATTATTATTTTGACAATAATATACTTACTATCTTAACTTGACCACTACAGCTTGCATTTGACAATTACATTTTACAAGTGACTGATTTATTAGCAAAAACGATAGGGGTCAGTGATTTCTTTCTCCTTGCGAGCTCTCACTGCTAAGTCGCTAAGTTACCAAACTAAACTGATTGGTTGGGGAATATATATATTAGCATATTATGCAAATAAAAGTTTCTATATAACGGAAAATTTTATGCAATTTATTCATTATGTGTTTTATTAATTGAATATTTATTTTAAAATGATACATGATTTCATAACAGAATTTAAGCAACTAATTACTCGCATAAATTCCTTATACTTATGTCGAGCCCGTTCTCACTGGCGCATATGATTCTCATGCTCGTGCTTATGCTATGCTTATGCGCTAGCGAAATCCACGCTTTAGGGAGTTTCAAGAGCGTGAAGGGAGAATCATTAACAAATTAGCATAGACATGGACAATCATGCATAACTGGCCGCAGATTCATTAACGTTTTCAAACCTTCATTAGCCCATTATGTGCATTCAATAAACTACAACAAACATACAATACCAAAATACGGACATTTAATTTCGTCATAGTTTTTATTTCTAGGATTTAAAGAGTGTTTAATAAGTGTGATATTTTACATACAAAAATTATCTTCATCCTTGAATATGCTCTCTATTTAAGCATCTTGGTAAATACGTTTGCACATGGTTGTACCACTGAACTGCTTTTTGAGGTGTTATGGCATTAACATTTCTTGTGGCAGCTCTGAGTAGGAGTTGTTTTCTCCACTCGCCAAGTGGAAGACCTTGTCTTCTACCTTCGTCTCTATTATTCATCATGCGCTGTTGTACTGGCTGAGATAAATGAGCTTTTATAGCTGCTTTGAAACAGCTAATAGCCTCTTCAACAATGTTGAGGAATGGGCTGTGTGGAGGGAGTGGTTTGAGCTGGCTGTTAGGACCTGGGTTGTTTGCGTTTCGATGGGCTGGTGCATTGTCGTAGATGAAATAAACGTTACCATTAGCTGGGAGTCGTTGGTTTAAAAGAAGTTGGCAAACCTCTGAGCATTCATTCCTCCTATTTCTGCTGAAWGATGGACTAATCCAGTCCTTGGCGATACGGCCAGAATACAGGTGACATTCCGCCCTCGTTGTCAAACACCCCGATTGATTCGTACGTTGAATTCTCCCAATGGATGAAAGGCACGCCGTACCCAATAATAATTTTCGCCGCCATGTTAGTGGTTACCGTGGCCGCGCCGTTAGTCAGCAGTAGGTAATAGAAGTCGTGCCCGTGAAGGCCTAGAACTAGCAAAAACTCGGAATGGAAATCTGAAGAAAGAAATCAGTGATACCTATCGGCTTCAACGGCTATATGAGGCTATTGTTATTCAGCGTATGTTTTGAATATTTAGAATTACTCGTTTGTAGAATGACGCTAAAAAATATTGATAAATGCTGTATTGCTCTATGCTTCAATTAATTGAAATTTGCAAAAACATATTTTCAATAATAACATTTTATTAGCAAAAAAATACATAACAAAACAACACTCCATAGTCTCTAACTATGAATAACAAATGTGATGTTGGCAAATGATAGAATACTGTGGCCTTCATTATTTCTGTCGCTGTAGGGCCTGTAGACACTGTAGTTCCGAAATCTTTTTGACTGAGATTTTTAGACTCAAAATAATCGGTTTAGAATTAACTAAAGACGCAGTTTAGATTATATGAGTTAACCTTAAAATCTAACCTTTTCATGCAGACAAAAGAAACTAAAGGAAGCAAGGATACAATGGGTCTTAATGTCCTTAATCACCATGAGAAGTGCCTTCTTACTCCGCCGACATCAAAAAATCATTGGAGCGAAATAAGATCACATAATAACACTATTTATTTAAGTACTTTTTCTGAGACTTTTGCAACTTAGTGAAAACGAAAGATGCTCGAAATATATTGTTGCTCGCTCCGATCTAGTGTGGAAAATAAATAAATAAATAAAGGTGGTTTATTTTCACTTCTTAGTGCAGTTAGAAAAAACTGAATAAACAGTGAGATTTACATAAATGAGTAATAGGAAGACTATAATATATGATAAATTTACTAAAAAGATTAAGAAAACTATAATAAATATTTACTATTTACATATTAGACTACTAAATAGTGTTCATTGATATTTAAATGTAAAAAAGTCATTTGCTCTCTTAGTTCTTTTCATTATTCTTGTATTGGTATTTCCAGATCTTAGATTGTATGGGATACACCGTTTTTCCTGTTGCGGGACTAAAAAGGATATAGGATGACTTTCGTTGGCTCATATCTGACATTAGCTTTTTACATAAAAAATCTCTTCGATTTGACAGCGATACTAGATTAGCTTGGWTCARTGCATCTTGATATTTACAATCAGGAAATATTATTTTCATAGCTCTTTTTTGGATGGATTCGATAGAGTCTGATAAGTACGCTGGGATGTCCTGCCACACTTGCGCTGCGTATTCTAGGACTGACCTAACATTACAAAGGTATACTTTCAATATGTCTTTTGGCATTACACCAGCACGCTTCAATAACCTAAGGGCGTACAGTCTTTTAGCCGCTTTGGCATATTACAAATTCAGCATGTGCGTTCCACTTCAGGTCTTCACTAATTATTACTCCTAAAAGCTTATACGTTCCTACGCGTTCTACTTCGTTGTTTCCAACACATATATGTCGCAATGTGGTAATCGAATACTCCAGTTTCGAATTCATAGCGAATAACCGCTGCTTTATTTGACAACAGATTCTCTTGCGCAAATTAAAGACCTTACAAACACAAAGGGATTATCATTTTCAAGAACTTAAATTCGCATCGTAATAAAATATAACCTTTATAATATTGTAAAGCTGTTAAAACTACATAAACTGGTAAAGTTTCAWCGTTATAGAGMCTTTCGTKTCRGAATTATTGACAATCAAACACGACGCGCTATAGTGAGAAATGTATGCCGAAAGCGTTCTGGTGGATATGTCAATACCACCAGCAAAATGTCCGAAACTTCAAAGACTAAYTATGATGGATTTTTSGACATATTTCAATATCTTTTACTGAAATATACTAAAAATAAATACTCTGAACATGCCTAAGGTAAAATCTTCCATCTTAGGTGAATTAGTTTTGAGTTTCAAGAAACGCGTGACAGTCTTGCGTGACAGACTTTGGGCCCTTATAACTTGAGCCATAGTTAATAGACTATTAACTATGCTTGAGCACAAAACAACGAAATGACTTCAAACTTTTCCATGTTAGTCATCTCAATAGTTTCTAAAACATATTTTGAAATTATTATTATAAGATGTTTATTTCTGGTTTTGGTTTTTCGATGACGTCACATGAAAACGAAGAATTGGCTGTGAATAAACTGTCACGCATTCTTGCTTTCACTATGTATTAGAAGTAAAAAATATAATATTCTACGCCATGATATACATTCAAAAATAGCTAGTCCGACTTCACGCTCCAAGAGCGTCTAGTT